ATTTTCTAGCTGCACTCGCTCAATAAAGCGGAGAAATTAGATCACAGCATTCATGTGTCAGGTTTGAGCTAGTCCTCCGGACTAGCTCTCCATTGTCAAGTAGGTAAATCCTGACAGAGCCAAAGATGCAGAGGGGTGTGTTTGTGTAACGTAGCTAATTTCGCATGATTGAAGGTCGATGGATGGGACCTTATGCGCAATTTGGCAACATCTTATGGATTGGCAGCTAATACCCACTTCCTCCCGTTCCCGGTTGTTGCGCATTCCAATGCATGGGGACGATGATTTTGCTCCAGAGATTAATTTCCATGATTCAAGTAGCTTGATCCGGGCTGATTTGACCGAGTTACGACCAAACAACGGTTACATCAGTTGAGATAGGAGCCCATACTGTGTACAAACTGATTTATCCGTGGTTTGCGCGCAACTCAATCAAACCGGCTCGGATCAAGCTAATTGAATCATGGAAATAAATGTCTGGAGCAGGCGCATCGTTCCATTGAGATGGAATAGACCAAAGCTGGGAATGGGAAGAAGTGAATGTTAGCTACCAATTTATGGCGCTGATACCGAATAATGTATAATGTATCCTCCATTCGCCTTGCAATTGAACCCAATCAGATGTATTATACAAACATGACCCTCCGCATCTTTTGGGGCTTTGGCTCTACCCAGGTCGAGCTACCTGACAATGAACAAAGACCTCTTTTCATATACCCTCACGCTTAAAGCATATTAAAAACATAAAGTCTTCCATATCTCAAAACTCTACTATCAAGCGCGGGTATCTTTAATAGAACAAAGTTGCTCGGCCGGGTCAACAGAATCATTCGTGCAGCGAGAGTAGCGATGACGTTGCTTGTCTTTAGGATTTCTCATACAAACGAGAAGGTTGTACGTAAGATAGCACATGCTGAAAATCGTTAAAGGGAATCATGGTATGTTTAATAGACCAAAAATGACCAGTGCATCCGAAAGTATGCGGTATGAACGTGAGGCTTCAAACTACTTTTGCTATGTCATCGAAAATGGCTTCATTTTGGGTGACAGCAGCAAAGAATGTCCAACGACGTAACTTGAACGCTAACCCTGAGACCTTGTGCCATCACATAGATGCTTTAGAATCTGCTGATCATTTCTGGAATATCAACCATACTGTGTTTGAGTATGTAAGCTTATGATCGTATGAGCGACTTTCGTGTTGGTAGGAGTGTGATTAGTATACATGTTACGTATGCAAATTCGACCTTTTATATGTTAAGTACGTCAAGCATACTAGAAAAAAGTATACTAGGGACTAGCTTTAGTGTAAAAAGTAACGCTTAGAATTTGGTAGTAAGGCAATGGTTGTTGCTGTTAGATCATCACATTACAGGCGCCTTTGCTGTACGTGAGGATGATTCGATTTCTCTCTTGTGTTATCTACCATGATGGTGAAGGTGGGTGAGGTGTGTGTTTGGGTGGATGGGTATGTGTATAGTGTGCATCTGGGGTGAGTGAGTGGGCCTAGTGTAATCCTAGTAGAGGATTTAACTTGGAGTTTAGTTTAGAAATGTAACTTGGTGCCTAGTTGAGAAATTTAACTTGTAGGTAGAGACGACGATTACAATGTTCATAGCAATAAGGATACTGGCAATGGCACAAACAAACATGGGTCGCCTTTCTCTTACCAAGATGATGTTGCGTGATCAAGTCCCATATCTTGTTGACATCTAAAAGGAAGCCTGTAAAATCCTTTTTTCTATCCATGTTTTGGAGATTGTAACAACGATGAGAACGATGGTGGCCAACTAGCTTTAATGACGAAACAAAACATGAATTGTATTATACATTTGGATTTTGCTATCTTACTCATTTCTTGTTGCTTGCTTGTGGATGACCCAAATAGATCATGTCGTCATGAAAAAGATCTTCACTCGACCTCCGTAGAATATAAATGTCTTTTCAAAACGCACAGCCGTCCGCCAACACGACATACGTATGCCTAAAATTCACATAGTAGATGTAAGCAAAAGCAGATGTAAGCTATTGAGCAAGATATTAAAAATTTCGAGCAAAGCGGGCCCCTCTCCATACTGCTACCTTCTTGGAAGATCAATTATCAAAATGGGTATGGCCATCCGCAGGTGGATCATTACATCATACAGACTATTCTTGGGGCTACTGTGTAGGGCTTTTGAGGATCTTCTCCATGCCACGATTGCTTTGTACATAGCTTCCTTCCATTTCTTTGAAGAAAAAGGTCCATCAATGTATACCAAACAAAACAGCGTCCATTGTTTTGATCCCGTCATACATGCTTGAAGCTTGATCTTTTAGTGCTATCTTTGCTGTTATGGATGTACAGTATCGTGTCATGTCTTTGGGAAACATGTGTGGACGTGCATCTTCTATTGGTGGATTGACATACAACAAGCAAGGGGGCATGATAGAGAAGTCCCTCTCAGGATGGTCACTTTTTTGCATACGACACTCTAATGCTTGTATACATTACTATACGAATACAAAAGGATGCAAGAAATGTAAAATTGACAACATCTAAACATGGATGAATATGGTCGTATGCACATACGTGGTGAGATGCTTGTCAACAAATAATAGCACGCTTAGGAACACAGTGGCAAAAGAAGACTATGAAGCAGTAGTTGGCGATTTGAGGTGATAAGAAAGAGCACGCTGCTTTTCATAGGCCAAGTATAGAAATGCTTAATCATGCAAAGGCTACAGCAACATGGTAATCGGTGCTTACGGGTTTGCTTTCGCTCGTCAATATTATATAGTGATAGGGGGTATCAGGTATCTCATGCATTTGACATTGATGTACCAGTTTCTTTTGATGGATGACACCAAGCTGCTGGTATTGTCAATTTGCATTTTGCAGTACGTCAAATACGTCGACACCCACCCGATGATTGAAGATAGAATTTAAGATGATGTGTGGCGCTATCATGTGCAAAGGCGCACGCGTGGAAAATGGAAAAGGAGAAAACGCGTATTACGACGAAGGTAATAGATGATAGCGAGTACAATGATCAGCCTTTCAAAAAATACCAAAGCATCGATGATACATGAGGTGCAATTGTCGGAGGTACCAACTTTTGCTACAAGCACCACACGTAAGAGGATGGGTTTGTGGCAAGAGATGGGTAGGCGATATAAATGGCATACGGCATCAGTGATCATTATGTATATTAAGAGACGGGCGGCTTTAAATTTGCATCAACGATAACCCCGAGCTGACAAAAAGAGTGTGCGCTATGGTAGAATTGAGCACTACAGCATACGGTGCAGCATTTTACAAATCTATCATTGAATCACTGGATCCGTAGATTGTCGTGAAGAAAAACCATATGCATGGATTTTCATATTTTACCACTAGCGATACTTATAGCATGCTAGGGTTGACTCTTTTCATCGTTGTCATGATCTCTCGATATTCATTCTTGAGGAAGTATAATGCTAAATCGAATAAGCTATAGGTGTGATATGAATAAAGATCCGGATCGGCGATTTTATAACCCAGTGTAATGCAGCTATAGGTTTTTATGTGCCGAAAGAGCATTGTAGCCCTTAAACATGACATTATCATTCCATTTATATGTACATCATGCAAACGTATGTAATAACGAATGCTGCCATGCAACCACAAAATGCCCAAATGTAATGACGACCCTATAGTAAGATTTTGCAATGTCATGAATAATCACGTGTACCCATCATCCCGACTCAGCTCGTGTATGGTTATATATAGGTTGCTATCCAACCCTACGACCTTATTATTCTCCTAGCATAAAAACACCCTTACTCACTCATAGGATTCCTCTTAGCGCGCGCACATTCATGTAGGTATCCACGGGCGCTTTCGATGTGCCCGATCATTGCTCCCTATGCTTTCAGGATAAAACAACGCGTACGCTAGTATCCCGTATGCTCTCAACCAATGATTGTTGTTGAATCTCTAATACCGTCTTTTGCCCTTCAAGTGAACTTTTACGGTCTTTCATCATGAGCAATTCTTCGCACAGCGTTCTCCAACCATGTATGCTATTGCATACATGATAATGAAAATGACCGATCCGCAACCCCACAACCATGATAAGTATCGGGAAGACCATCAAGCAAGAAATCTTATGCTACATGGATTGTATGTACGACCTACATGGATGCGAAAACCAGCCATCGTAGAGTGCTGGTGTAGCTGTCGACGTGCCAAGGGATAACAATGGATAAGAATATGCAAGATGCGGTTGTCGTTCATTGTGTCTTTATTGTTATATAGAAAGAACCGAATAGCAACAAATCCTCCCAACGATACCAATACCCAATGTTGTCAAAGAAGCGGTGCCTGACCAATCTGCCAGGCACCACTATTGTATGTATGTTACCATATCACAAAATTTATTACCCATTTCCCTATATCGAGTAGCTTGGTGATCTGTTGATGTCAGGTGGATGTAAATGTGGCCGATCGAATACATTGAGACCCGTATCCATGAAGAAGAGAACTACCATGCTTTCAAGGGCGGCACCTTTATTCAAATGGATCTTGAGAGCTACCCTCTATATAGCTATACTTTTCGCACCGAGTGATTTTGCCATTATTCAATGTAGGTTCCAATTTCCTAATTTAGAGATCATCGATCATCCCATTCATGCAGGTCGACCATGTTAGTAATCGTCATCCATACAAGACCTCTTGTTTTCGCAAACTTACCTTTATGTCAATGATTGCCTTTTTAACCTTGGCATCACGTGCAATAAACACCACCATGTAATACAAAGGGATGCATTGTACTCTTATTGTTCTGGTCAGCATGATAGGTGGCTTAGCAACTTCCTTCCATTTTGATCGGCACTTCACCTCTAATTGGCTCCAAACCGACGTCACGCCTTCATTTCACTGTGTATCGGCTTAACAAAAACACGCAGTCTCGCTCCATAGAGTGTATCGCCCTCCTTTATACGCGTCTTTCGCTGCTCCTCCTCAACTTCTGCACCTCATGACCCTCAACGAAGATGAATACTATGTAAGTTTGTCACAATGTACCACCTACTTTTTGAGTCCGATAGGGTCAGCATGCTCATTGAAGAACGACGATTGATAGGTCCATCGCATTGCCGGGAGAAAAGTGGAAGTAAGTTTGTTCTTGACGAGACATGGCGGGGTCAAGGTAGTAACCTATAGCTTATGCTTCGTTAGCGAAAGAAGATCTATTATCTGATTGAATGGGATGGTTACGAGTTGGAGGCCAACACCTGGGAGAGTGAAAAGAACCTGCTTGGCAACACGGAGCTCGTCAAGGAGTTTGAGACCTCACTTTTAAAGGAGAATTCAAGCATCCCTGATATCCTCACCAGCACACGCAAAGTTCTCTTGCAAAATACCCTCGATCCTGATATCCAACAACCAGTTACTATTGCTTCCAACAACAAACGCAAGGCACCATCCAGCGATAAAGAATACCTTGATAATCTGCCTTCAAAGGTAAGTTGCGTTGTTTATGGTGCACCATCTTGGATTTGCATATTCATGCTTGTATCATCATCCCATCAGCTTGTACAGGAATGGTCCAAAATTGTGAAACGCAGCTCACGGAAGGATGCTGTTCGTTTTCTGGAAAACCTTGATCAATCGTTGAGTCGAGCTCAGGTAAGAAGAGAAGGTGGATGGAACAAAGTGAATGGATGACCAATGTCTCTTATTTTGTAGGGTTTGATACGACCCTTATTGCGTGATCGCAATGATACCCAATTCTTCAAAGGCGTTGTTCCATCCGTCACCGTCGTCAACAATGTGGATAGTGAACCATTTCCTTCATCCTTCAAGTATATCAATTCGCTGGTGTATTCCAAAGACGTGAATCCGCCCGATCCAGCCTTCCTTATTCGATGCGATTGCACAGGTGTATGCACCGCAACATGCCATGAAGATTCTCAAATGTATGCTCCTGATGGTACGCTTCTTGTCCAACAAGGCAGCCCTATCTATGAATGCAACAGTGCCTGTGCATGTGCAAAGGAATGCCAAAACCGAATAGTACAGCGTGGCCGCACCGTACCATTGCAGATCTTCAAAACCAAGCTCAAGGGATGGGGTGTCAAGGCGATGGATAATATCAAGCGTGGTCAATTTGTGGAGGAGTATCTCGGTGAAGTGATCACTGAAGAGGAAGGGGAGCTTCGAGGCAAATTCTATGACAAGGTTGGAATGACCTATTTATTCGATATGGACTTTGGCGCTGGCGAGGATCATTCGGTGGAATACGTCATTGATTCCTTTTTGCTGGGAAACGCAAGCCATTTCTTCAACCATTCATGCGAGCCCAATCTCAACGTCTATGCTGTGTACCATGATAGTGCAAACCCTGATTTCCATCGTCTTGCATTCTTTGCCAAACGCAACATCAAAAAAGGAGAGGAGTTGACCATCGACTACCAAGGCGGTGGTGGAAGCATGACCGATTCTACATCCTCAAAAGGCAAGTTTGCCTGCCATTGTGAGTCTCCAAAATGTCGCAAATGGATCCACAAATAGAGGACGTATCATATCATCATTGTATTTACTTTGCATAAAATTAACTTGAAACAAATGTATGGATGCCATTTTATAATTGGAATGTTAATCATCGATCATAAGCACTTTCCTGTTCATCACATTTATATTTTCTATAGCCAATGGCAGCATATGGATGGCATGATTGGGATGGGGGGAGTGGAGATTATCATCATGGATCTGATAAAGTCACGTGGGGATCTCAATTTCGGGGCATACATGTACATGATGGCAATGAGACATAAGCAAGCTCAGCGTAAAATGTCATCCAAAGAAAAAGATCATAGATGGACAATGATGATTGTATATAAGGGGAGGTTGTATATCCATTGTACTCTGACAACAACTGGCAGTGGTGGCTCAATTCCCCTTTTCATGTAGCACAGTTCCGAGTCACAAAGGATGTATCAAGTTGTTGACGCTTTGTTTTAGCTTGCAACCCCTCCCCACCACCACCTCCACCCACCTCCGCCATTGTTATGAACCAGCAGCCATTCAAATTCAAAGCACCTTCCAAAGGCACCGTTATCTTTTGTTCTGTCCTCTCCTTAATTTCGGGAACGGTCTACTATAGCAAGCATCACGCAGCCGAAGCACGAAAAGCGCAATGCAGCAAGGTGTCATTTCTAGGTGATCGCCCTTGTGGTGTCCATGTAAAGTTTATCTTTGATATTGACTTGGGTCGGGTGGATATTAATTGGGTTTAGTAGGAAATGCCACGCAAAGTTGTTGTGTATCTTATGGCTCCACCCGGTGATCACATGGATAAGAGTCGTGCTTGGTTTCATGAATATGTCAAGGTATGAAAAAGTGGATCTATTCATATACAATCATGAAATGGGATAGTAACACATTCAACATAGCCAATTCTCGTTGCTGGTGCAGTGGATTATGATGTCATGGAGGGCAAGTCAAAGGGAGCTATTGAATCAGCTGTCATTGAAGAAGTTGTACGACGACGAAGACAGCAATTGGCAGAGAAATCACAGCATGAACAACAACATCAGGATGAAGCAGCAGCATCATCATCACCAGCCGTACACAATCCTTATGCACCCATCACGCCCGAGTCTCAACAACAACAATATCAACAAGTGACATCGATGATGAACAAAACAAAGCAAGAAAACGACTACGATGGCATGTTGGCTATTGGAAGACTTGCATGGGGTGAATTGTTACGTGGTATTGAAAAGGGATGCCATAGCAGCCTGGATGCACCAAAGCAACATGAGGACAAGGACGAATCATCCGATAAGCAACAAGAACAACAACCACTTGCAGTAGAAGACAACAACAACGTACAAGAGACCCAAGAACCCATCTTGTACGATGAACCTGTGCATGATGAAAACAACAACAACAACAATGCATTGTCGTCGATGGTGGATGAAAAGCCTGTTGTGTTGACGCCCTCTCTTTTCTCGCCTGTCATGTATATCCCCCACGAGAACATTATTGGATGGACCAATATTCCTTATCGCATTTATCGTTGGATCACGGATTACACCCGGATAACAGACGTTGGCCAATACGCCGTGGCAGCTGTCCTTAATGAATCCAGACCTTTAAGAGAAGAGGATGTTGATGCAGGCAATCAGGAAAAGCGGTATTGGATTGGTGAGGATGCTGAAAAGGTGCTTGAAGAGGACACGCCAATCACTTTGGAAGCAGAGGTGAAGAACGTCCTTCGTACCTATGCCAGTGAGGATCTTCCATAGACTATGTTAATTGTATCTAGATAAAATCAATAATATCATCTGCATGTTGAACACCCTTCCCCCCTTAAAGTCTCTCTCTCCCATCCCCATGTTTGAGATGCAACCAAAGAAGGAGTGTATGTATAAATACATTTAGCCCATCCATCATGATAAAACCGAAACGTTTCATTGTTCAAGTAATAGCCCAGGATTATTAATGCTAATCGTACGGGTGAGATATTAGCAGTGGTCATAGCGCTTATATTATACATGATATGAATGGGATATTCTGCTGACTCTAAAAGAGAAGCTAGATAATGTATGTGTGTGTGTGTGCGTGGATAGGTTATAATGCTAAGTGCAAATGTCAACTACCATAGGTTCACGACGAGATAAATCTTCCGATTCCTCCTGAATTTGTGATAATTGTGAATTGGATGATCGTGGCAAAGAAGATTGATGGCGGGATAATGAGGATGTGGATGGAAGATCGTTGTTGCGTTGTTGTTCTGGTTGCGATGTGTCGTCGTCACGATGGGAATGGCGCATTAAGAAATTTGGATAAGAAAGGGGTCTGGTTCGGTTGGATCGTTTATAGCCTCGTTGTTGTTGTTGTTGCTGTTGCTGTTGTTGTTGATCACTTCGCATAGCAACGGTGAATTTGCGTTTTTCGAATAATGTTAATTTCAGTTTCTCCATGATATTGGCTGCACTGAGTCGTTTTTCTGAGCGCCGCTGTGTTGTACTCCGTGGCCGTGGTTGAGGAGTTTGTTGTGGTTGAGATGGCGGTTGTTGTGGTTGAGGGGATTGCACTTCTTGTTGTTGTTGTTGTTGTTGTGATTGTTCAGGCTGTTGTTGTGGTTGTTGTGGTAATGGTTGTTGCGCATTTGGCAATATATTCACATCACTATCCACAAATACGGTGCGTCGATCACGTGGTGAGGCATCACGAATAATGGAACAATCACTTTCGACAAACACAGTGCGGCGGTCACGTGGCGAAGCCTCTCGAACTATTCATGTTCATTGTTAGCTAATGGTGACGAGTTAACTTTTTATGTCATAGACTTACGGTGTGTCAAGGATGGCTGCTGAGTCGGAGATGGGTCTGCAGGGACTTGCATTGAACATGATGGCGATGAAGTGGTTGCTTTCGAAATACAAGGAGGGGTAGTAGTAGTAGTAGTTGTTGTTGTAGGATGGTTGTCATTGGAGGGTTGTTGATGCCCACTAGCAAATGCAGTCTCTGGAGGTGGAACAAATGATTTGCATCGTAAGCCAAACTTGGCCATGACCTCTTCAGGCTCCAATGCAACGCTAGCTTCCAAATCTGAGTAGCTACGGCAGATAGGACATTGAAATCCTGGATAGCTGTTGAGAAGGGATCGGATACACATGAAATGGAATGAATGTGAACAAGGTGCAACAAATAAAGCTTGCAATGGAGCCAAAGCATAAAGGCAAATGGAGCATTCATCGACTTCGGGCATCTCCTCTTCATCATTGGTTTCCATGGCATTGGATGTTGTTGTCGTCGTAGCAACTGCAGGAGCTGAGCAGCTGGGTTCATCGGTTGTTGGTTCATCCTCCTCGATTGGAATTACCATAGATGATCGTATAACTTGTTGATCCTCGCTGTGACTACTAGCGACGCGGGAAAGCGTCATTAGATTGTTGAATTGTGACATGCTAAAGGACAATGGTCTTGGCTTTCGAGACATGTTGAGTTCAAAACGCATCTTGACGGATCGATAAATCTCCTCTTCACCACCTTGATAATCCACACCCAATTGCACAATGTCGCCATGTTGAATTTCAGTTGCTGGACTCTCTTGGCCAGGAGCACTTAGGCGGATGTGATTGAGGAACGTGCCAGAGGACGAATTTGTGTCACGAATGTACAGCTATTAATTTGTTGTTTGAGCAGCCGCGGCTAAATTATTGATCCTCTCTTTGTGTATGTTTCATACCTTTCCATCTGAATGTACCCAAATCTCACAATGAGAGCGCGACACAACCTTGCTTTTAAAAGACATGCATTCCACACATCCTGATGGCCGATCCGTAAACCTTCCTAGTTTGATAACCGATCCAGCGGCCAACTCTCGATCCAATATCTCGAATATAAGAGCACGACTAGGATTCTCAATATTGGGGACAATGCGCACATGTAATGTCTTTGGTGGTGTGATAGCACTCGTTGTTTGTGTAGAGTCCACCTTGCTTGCTGTGGGTAACGTGTCCTGAACTTGCAACGGGGTTGAATCAGACGAGACCGATGTCGTTCGATAGTTTGCCATGTCGTGTTGTTGGTGTTGCTGCTGCAATGAAGGAGCAGGTGTAATGACTGGAAGACACTCTGATTCAGTCATTGGAACAAGTGGGAAAAGACTTTAGGTGGGAAAAAAACAGAAAGAAAGTATTCAGCAAAGTGCATGTGCTCATCCAAATAAAGGTAAGCGGTGAATGACATCACGTTGATTTCGCCCTTTTCATTTTGACCGTCAAGATACAATTGACACGACTCGCTTTATGTACGCTTTTTCTTTTCACTATTGGAATACTGAATACATAGCTATCATCCCCATTCTTCAATTATGGTTTTTTGCTGATCATGATCATCATCGATTGCGCCCATTCGTAGATTTTGTGTCACGTGAGATCTCTTCAGGGACAAGGTACCATCTTTAATACTGGAGCAAAATGTTTTACCTCCCAAAAAATATCATGTCAGGGGATTTGAGAGAGAAATGAGCCACGTGAGGAGCGCGATACATTAGCACACAGATACTTCCAAAAGTCATGTACCAATAAAGCAATCTGATTACCTAATACATTTATTGACTTGGTCTATGCCTTCTTTATAATTAAGCCCTTTAGCATGTCAAAGCTATTTCCATCAGGCTGCAATGTGTAGCGCTTGTTTGAGCCGTCAACGGCCACTGCTTCCAACATGCCGTAATCATGGGTGATACCAGCAATCTTGACACGAACATTGTCATGGGTTGTCAAGGTCACGATTTTATCACTAAAGCGATACGTTAGCTATCACATAGAGAAAAATCCTTCCTTCCCCTTCATTTTTACCTGTGAAGCCATCGCTTGTAATAGGTATCCAAGAACCAGGGTCCCATGCCCTTTTCACAAAACTGGGAATAAAATCGTTCAAATGTCGTCAAGATACCAGCGAGTGCTTCTTCAGAAGACAAGGGTGCGAGAGAGCTATCGTGTTTTTGGATCAAATCATTGATAGAGACCGTGGGCTTGGGGTTTCCTAAATTGATGCCGCATCCTAGAAAGAAAAGAGGGACAAAATTATATATGCAATCCTCACCGATGACCCAAAGAGTGAACTTACCAATCACCAAAAGGAACTCATCTTGCACAAAGCTCGAATTGACCAAAAGACCGCCCACCTTTTTCAAATCACCATTGATATCGGCATAGACGTCATTGGGCCATTTCACGCGAAGAGGCACGTCTTCATAACCCTTGCGTTCTCGAATGCTTTCCACCACGGCAAGAGCAATCAAATATTGGATAAAGACAACGGGTGCATGGGATAATCGAGTACTATGGCGTACAATAAAGCTGAATTGTAGAGCACCCAATTGTGAGACCCACGAATTTCTACCACGCGCTATAAAAACGTCAACATACACAAAATCCATATTCTTGTTTGTATACCCTCTTCTTACCTCGTGCAGCGAGTTGGTTTGTTCCCAAACATACTAATCCAGTTGGCAGTGCTTGGGCAAAGTTGTAATTCCTATGGATCCATGTATAAGAGAAAAGGATAGAAAGATGGATCATGCACGTACTTACTTGTCTAGAACGGTTTGTGTGCTTGTGATAACTTGAGAATACATCATCACGTTGCCAAAGTGATACCATTTGCCTCCACCCCATTCACGTTCTCGTTGGCGCTTGAGCTCTTCAAAGAATGTTTTGATATTGAAATTGGGCGTTACAGAAGCCTCGGGCCATGCAGGATCGGATGTCATGAGTCGAATTTCCAGTGGGGTTACTGAATCTTTGGTGTCATCATTGTTGAGTTGTAAAGAAGCCAACTTTTGGTGGATGTCCTCATTGTCTTTTCTCGTCAACCAAAACTCATTGGTGGAATCTTTGAGAACACCATCCTTGGCGAGTGATTCGAGTTCTGTGGCGATCGAGCGAGTTGCCATGGGATTGTTGGCACAAAGATAGATGGGTGTGAGTGCTGGAATTTCATCATTCTCGGGCTTCTTGTTGCCGACATCGAGACCCATTTTGGCGAGGACAGCCCGTAAAAAGAGTTTACGATCGGGTTCAGAAGCGACCAAATCCTGCATGACCTTATCATCAAAGCTTTCCATATCATATTCGGGATGGGTGGCAATCAAGACAGCGGTGCCTTTGCCGACGCTGCAAGAAATAGCGGCTGCAGGATTCGTTTCATCTTTGCATATGCCAGCATCAATAAATCGGCCCAGGACTTGGATATTCTCATAGTCTTCAGCATGCGCAAAGTAGCCACCGCCATTGTAATACATGTGAAGGGTCTTTGGGACCAACTCATCGTTGCCATAGAAAGGTTGCAAATACTCGCTGATCAGTTGCACAGGTGTACTTCTGGCTCCTTGCTCACTGTCATAGACGAATCCAGGATACATGGTGCCTCGACAGGTTCCAGGGAAAAAGGCGAGCTCACGTAATCCACACACTTCCATATCAGCTCTGCCTTGCTCAAATTCAATGCAACTCGAGGCATAATAAGCTCCTGCACAAAGGCCGAGATAGCGACCACCACCATTCACATAGTTCTTGATACGTGTATTGGCAGCACCATTCAAATCAGCGCAATACGGCAAATCACGACCTCCTGGCATAACCAACATGGAGCAAGAATCTTCCCAGGGCTCCGTTTGCAATGTGCGTGCGTCAACAGGGATAATGTCATACGCATGGCCGAGTATTTGCTTGAGCGTCTTTTGTGCATGCTTTACTGAATTCGGTGAAGTGCCATTGCCTGTATAGACGAGGACATTGATGCCGGTCGCCAAAAGTCGTTGCAACATGGTTGGGGTGGAAACGAAGGTTGTCAAGGAAGGAAATCAATGACAGCTGCCGCTGCAGACCACCTGAAATTCGCAACCAACCGCCACACACCAGGGGAAATGATTGGTAGCAGACGTTTGACATGTTCCCAGGCTTGCTGTAGGTTTCAGACAATGCCCTCTTTATTTGAGCCATAATAAAACTAGCACTTTATCTTTCTTTTTCATACATTCATGTCTCTAAAACAATGCATGTCCTATTGTCATTCTCTTAAAGGGAACTCGTTTATGTAAAATGATCGATCCTATTTAAGATGTCACGCCATTGTCATCATGCGGAATTCAATCTAAGCTCGTCAAAAAATTGACACCGCTTTGAAGCGAAAAAACTCTCTTTGTTCCGAGCCGATATGGAAAAGAAGAAACGCGCACGTGGTTTGGCTGCACAAAAGGCTGCTAAAAAGTCAAAGATCGAGCAAGAGCCTGATACCAGCAATGCTCAAACCGTCATGCTGGAGCAAATTGTCGAAGAGGGCGATGAGATTGGTGAAGTGGTTGCTCTTTATATGAGTGCCATGGTCAAGTGTGGTGTGTATTGACAGCTCCTTGTCAACGACGCATAAGCTAACGAACCTTGCTGCTATTATCTTAGAGACGGATGATATCGCAGGAGCACTCCCACTCTTCCGAGGCACCATCAATGAATCGGATCGTATCTTGCGCAACTGGGATGCAGAAAAGCAAGAACAACAAACACGACCTCCACCCAAATTCTACTTTGCTTATGGATCAGCCCTCTATGAACTCGGTCGTTTGAGTCAAGATGAAGATTTTGAACCTTACCTTGATGCTGCTGAAGAACGTCTTGCCGATGGTTTGGAGCGCTTTGATGAATTGGAAAAGGAAGAGGACAAAAAGGAAAACATGGCCTATGCTCAAAAGATTCGTGTCGCACTCGCCAAAATTTGGATTGCAAAGGTAGTAGTATCAATCACCACAAGGTATGAGGTATCTTACATACATCATTAGGCTGCTAGCCAAGTCCAAGAAAGTACATCCTCTGTACCCGACCTTGCAACCAAGGCGTTGGACACTTTGGATAAAGTGCTTGCTGAAAAGGAGAACGAGCTTGATACCAATGACTTGGTGGAAATTGGAGCTATTGTACAAAGCCATGGTGAGCTCTATGGTGATTTGGAGAAGCAATCAAAGTTCAGAGAGTGGGCTGAAAAGGTGCTTTTACGTGTGGTCAAAGGTAAAGTACTCTATTCGATGGATATTGTTCGCACATTTACTCATATTGCTTTTTATAGATGAACCTGAAAACGTGCGCGCATTGACAGAGTTGGGTCTGGGCCAATTATCATTAGCCAACTTTTGGTTGGATGCAGCCGATAAGGAAGAGGAAGAAGAAGAAGAAGAGGAGGAGAAGGAAGAATCAACTACCATCTCACAGGAAGAAAAGAATGCTCAAGATGCTCTTTTGAAATGTATGTCTTCATCTTCTCTGCTTTATAGGTGCACTAATCACGTTTTGCATATAGCCCAGGAATACTTTGAACAAGTATTGAACTTGTCGAGCAAGACCAACAAGGTGTTACCAAGGATGCATGCTGATCTTGCCGAAGTGCTCATCAATCTTTCCAACCTCGTATCGGACGAAGGCGAGCAACAAAAGTTGTATCAACAAGCAGCCGAGCATATTCAAAATGCAAAGTCTGTTGCTCAAAGCAAAGAATTGGAGTACGAATTACCGGAGGGCTTGCAATTGTTTTTGGAGGAGTGGTCATCTTCGCAATAAATGTTGTTTTTATCATCATCAAAGAGCCCCACTGGTTGATGTCACACGTGATAGTATCGATCCATGGTTTAGACTTCCCTTAACACACCCCTTTTTGTACGTACGTAGTATAACCACACACACCCAAAGCCATTCGTTTCAACCCTTGTTTTCTTTACGGATGCGCCAAGAAAAGAAAGCTGCAACTACTAGTACACTAGAAGAGGCTTCAATCAATGATGCTCGTCGAACGCATTGCATGGAAAAATATTGTTTCTTTATTGGCTTTCTCTTTCCACCCGCATGGTTTATCGGAAGCAGCTACAGCTGCTGTGACCAGCATCCATATCAATCTCATGCACTCGCATGGCAAAAGAGGTGTCGTATCGGTGCCGTTTTATTTCTCACCGGCTGCATTGTTGCAGTTGCACTTATCATGGTTTTGAAACCTTCTACCTTTGGACTTCGTGGTAATTCTTCTGGTGCACAAACGTCCTCAAATTCAGAAACGGCTATTCGTCCAGGGGTTCCATCGAATAATAGTGGCAATTGGGATGAAATGATGGCTGATGTACGTGTGGAGCAGCATGTTTCTTTATAATCCTCCTTTTTTTAAAATAAAGCTATATTATATCGTATGTATATACAACTAGATCTACTATCATTCTTGTGTAGTATCAAATAACAATCGTAAATCATTGATCTTTTGAGCCTTGGCATCTTCTTTGCTCGAGTATAGTTGATTGATGAGCTCCTATGTAAACAAGCGATGTATTAGCATTTGAAAGCACCCATAGCCAAAAGTGTCAATACGTACGTGCTTTCGGTTTTGGATCGCCAATATCTTTTCTTCCACTGTTCCCCGCATGATGAATCGTGTCACGACGACCTAAAGTGAATGGTTAAAACAATGACAATGCTACCAACAGGGTTCATGCAACACGTACGGGTTTCTCCTGGCCTAGACGATGGACACGATCAATGGCTTGTGCTTCCACTGCATAATTCCACCAAGGATCCTAAAAGTGGTGATCAAGATCAATAGGCTGCAAGATTGCATTGTATTGCATTGCGTATATACCATCATCAATATCCGAGTCGCGCATGTCAAATTCAGACCAACACCGCCTGCACGCAAACTGATCAGCAAGATATTGACCTTGTTGTTAGGGTTGGCGAATTCAGCCAAGACATTTTCACGTTGTGATTGAGAGAGAGATCCATCGAGCCGTACAAATGAAAAGCCTTCCTTTTTCAGTGCAAGTTCAATAAGGTCGAGGAAACCGGTAAATTGTGAAAATACGACTGTCTTGTGCTTTTCTTTGCGATAATCTCGAATATGTCGAATCATGGCATCAATCTTGGCTGATGATCGGTATCCTCCTACAGCTTGTCGAATATCCAAGGACGTCGAAGCATCATCATCACCTGATGTATTGGTGGTATTGGTGATCTCGAGTAAGTCCGCTTGCTCAACTTGTTTGCGACATGATGGACATTCATAGGCTTCACCCTTTGCCTCTTTTCTCTATAGTGTCCCAAGTGAGTGAGTTATGTGTGTTATAGTTATCATCATCCATACTGAAACCTTACCTCGAAATACGTCATTAAGCATTCACGACAAAACATATGCATACACGGTAACATAATCTTGGAGTCGGCAACATCGAGACAAAGAGGACATTCATCCGCTTCTGAATCTTCCACAGTCTCCCCAGATTGTTTTGCCATCAACTTTTTTAGGACCGACATGCTGTAATCGCCTTGTGAAGAGTATCGCTCGATCAAAGAATCCAGTGTCGTGATGCCACCATCCTTGGTTTGTATATTATCATCATTCTTGCGTAATACAAGATAAGGATGACATGTCACTTGTCGTAATCGCATAAGAAGCTGAAAGATGGATGCATAGTTGCTGAGGATTTTGCCGGCAGCACAAAAGTGGGCAAACTTGGTCTTTGAATCCGCTTGCAAAGAGTCATAAATGTCTTGCTCAGGGGGCGAAAAGTCGAGGTACTCGATATTGATCTCTCGTGGCGGTAACGGAACCATGGGGTTGCCATAGGTATCGGTCATATTCTTGGTACGTCTCAAAACAATAGGTTCCAAGACAGCCTTGACAACACTGAGCGCATGGATATTCTTTTTCTCAAAAGGAATCGAGATGAAGGTTCGCCAAAAGGTGTAATTCGCCCTAATGACGTTGCTTAGCGTCATGCATATATAACTCCCCTCCACAATATCATCCATCTTACCATGGCTCATGCTTCAAGAATCGCACCAATGAAAAAAGATCATCCAGCTTGTTCTATAAAGATAAAATAAGTTTCATGCGTACGTTACCAAGCAATGAGGGGTTGTTATTACCTGGATAGGAGTGCCTGTAACGGCCCATCGTCTTGTACTCTTTAAAGCACAACATGCCTGTGATGTCTTGCTAAGGCGATTCTTGATGGTGTGTGCCTCATCCAAAACAACGCGCCAGAAGGATACTTTGTATAAAAAGCTATCAACACTGTTCCAATCGGCCATCACGGTGTGATAGGTGGTGACAAGGACATCGGGCGCCATGCCGTCCCAGCGGCATAATTGGTCTATTGTGTTTGCTCCTTTGCTCTCGCCATAGTAAACTTCCACACGGATGGAACCCGGTTTTGAAGCTCGCGTCAATTCATCACGCCATTGAGCCAATAACGTCATTGGACATACGACCAGCGTAGTAGGGGATGCTTGAGGATCGGAAGGAATAGCGGTGATATTGGGTATGTAGCGGTTTTGATGGATCAAACTCAAGATCTCGATTGTCTTTCCCAGGCCCATTTCTTTTTAAATCGGTGAGTTGAATGATCTCAATGAATGAATGCTTCTCCCCTTTCCTATTTACCATCAGCCAAGATGCCTCCTCGTTCTTGAGAATCCGTTTCTGGGAATTCCAAAGTCAACTTGCCTATATTCAATGGTTGAGTATCATCACCAACCACCCATCAAGAAGCCAATACCCTCCTTCTTACCGTTGTATGGATTAAAATAAAAGTGTCGAGGTGCATCGGCGCCATTTTCACCTTGTGATAATTCATATTGTTCCCATAATGGATGCATACGTCGCATTTCATCCGCTTCCTTGTGTGATTCAATATCCACCATCCAAGCCAAAGCCTATAAAAGACATACCTGTCAGATACATTCACGCTTGATCCGAATCCGCTATCTTACTCTTTTCTGATAAGGTTTCAATTCAATCGCCATTGTCTCTGGATTCTCCATGGGTGAAATTTGGTCGTCATAGAACTGTGCTTTTCCATAAATCATATCCAACTGCTCATTCGAGACTTCTTTTTCTTCAGGAGCATCAGGATCCTCCTCATCCTCTTTGGGTTGTCTTGTCATGAAAGAACCGTTGGCGATGGATTGGGTGATCATATCATAGGTCTCATCATCATCGACGCCCGTTTTCATGTTGATGCGTCGTACGGTGGACTTTGTTGCTTTCAAATTTGTCTTTCGCATGATGCTTAGTAATGCCAATGTCCGATCCTTGTATGATCTTTCATCGTCATGATCCGGTGAGCCTGTCATGATGGGTTCATTGTCGAATGCTTTGGTGGTAAAGTAACATTGCACATGAAGAAAGATGTCGTTGGCGGTGGATAAGTGATAAGGACAAATGACAATCGATGCACGAAATGCACAAATGCCGAGGTCGAGTAATTTTGAAATGTAGCGTGCCTCTGATGTATCGACACGTCCAATCTCACGTCCTGATTCGCTTGAAAAACGTACAATGGTGTTCTCACGTCGTTTGCCGTATCTGCCGAAACGAGATCCTGATTCCTCCACTTGCTTGGATCGCTCCAGAATCACAGCATCACCTTCCTTGACAGGGCATTTACCAGACATGGTAGACCACCCTAAACATGCACACTCAATATACGTATCCTTATTAAATCCCATCACAATATCTATATACCTTTGATAATAGCATCTCCAAAATAAAGCAAGTCTGGTGATGGCGCAGCAGCAGCAGTAGTAGTAGTAGTCGTCGTAGTGGTGGTGCTGGTCGAAGTATCCTTCTTTGAGTAATAGGCATTGATGGCCATTTGAAGATCGCCGTTGCAGATATTGAGAAGGTTGTTCAACTCGGCATCCGTTTGCTCATCGCCAACGATGGATCGGAAGAGGGGAAGTTGTGAATGCTGTTGTTGTACAAGCGGTGGTGGTGGTGGTTGTGTCAAGGAAGGCAAAGGAATGTCGGGTTCGGTTGTATCGGGTTGTGGCAATTCATCGGTGGCTGCTTCAACTCTTGGTATCTTTTGCTGTGGTGATGGGGTGGTGAAGCTCTGATCTTCAAAGAATGGCCGCTTCTCGCTCATGACAACTTGGGAACCTTGTCAAGAGTCGCGAATGATAGAACGCGACACCGAAATTAAGAAGCGTGTCCAAAGTCACAAGAGCTTCGGGCTGCATTGATTTGAGACATGACTGACGACATCTCGACCAATCGAATCTATACAATTGTGCTTGCTTCGTTATAAAGAAAAAGGATAGGGATATGGGCCATCTTTATGAAGGGGAATGGGAACAAACTACTACTTGTAGCACTATTAAAGTGATCCTCCCTGCTACTTATGGATCAAGGAAAATAGCACATGTTCATTATGTAATTGATGCTATACTTTTAAGTTCATAATACACAACTAGAGCCCGGCTGCTCGCTTCGCTCGTAAACGTCGAGTTTTCGTGGAATGGCTTTGAAGTAATGCTTACCATTCCACTGTGTAGGTTTTATGCTTACATACAATGAGCGGGTGTAACAATGTAGCATGCCAAAGTCAACAATTGTTTTTTCATTTATTGAATACCATTGTATCAATGATGATATCTCTCTGTAAGCTTGTGAGGGGATATGTGTTTTACTGCGTGATCCATACAGGAGTCCTAGGCAACCGTGTCCTAGGCGACCGTTTTTGGAGCGTCGTGGTGGTGGTGGTGGGTTGAAGAATCGTCCCCAGATACAAACTCCGGTAGTGAGATATGATTACGCCACCCAAGCGCAGCACCCAACAAACTACTTTCTTCTGGTTCTTGCCATCTTGCTGCCTTCTGCTCCAGCGCCGTGTATTTAATACCTGTATGGAGGTTGCCAGCTTGTGAGGTTGTGCTGATTGAGTTACCGTGTTCGAGTGCTAATCGATGCACGTATATCGGTTGTTGAGTTACCGTGTTCGAGTGCTAACAGCCGATGAACCAGCCTTTTGGGATCAGATGACTCAGTACCTGCTCGTGGTTGATCCTGCTAATCAAGCCATATACTATGGTTTGAGAACCGAACCTGGGTCCTAGTATAGAAACAATAGCTTTAATATGGTAGTGATGATGGCTAAATAACAACAGAATAAAAATGGGTCGTTTAAACCGCATATACAGCGAAGGCTTTATTTAGCTACGCGCAATCAAATCATTATCTGCTTTGCAAAAGTGGGAGAGCTTGTATGAGACAAGCTTGTTTAAAGTCGTTCATGAGTTAAGATGTTACAAGAATGCTTGTAAGGCCCATGTAATGTAGCTGCTTCAATCATTTGTAGCCTTGTCGTTGTAGTCCATCACCACAAGTATGTCATATATCCGGCGTCGAGTAAGTTCGCAATGAACGGTGCATCTTTTGAGACCGTACACTAGTCTTCATATCCTGGTTGCCATGGAGATTACCATTCATTGACCCCTTTATTTGTAATACTGTTCCTACATAGTAATGACATTGAACGACGAGGCAAATAAACTATGGACCACCAGTAGTATCCATTTCTTGGTTGAGATATCAGGATTTGCTGCTATGAATGCATTCCTTTACTTTTTCATTTTGTGGTAACCACAATGAGACAAACGATGTCTTATCGATTATGTGGGCAATCAACCCTCCCTTGTTTTCCTTTTCGACATGTGCTGAAATGTTCTTGCGAGAAAGAGAAACAATAAGCCCTGAAAGGTGTATCCTGAGTGTAAATGATTTAGGCTTAACAACTTCTAACATGATAAAAGTGATAAGCTCCATGTCCGAAGGTGAAGCTCACAAGTAGATTGCGAGTACGAGGGAATGCAAGTGAAGAGTGGAAAGCTTCTCAACGACATTGACTTGGCTCTACCATCATCCACGCTATGGACTATGTAATGAAGGGATGTTCTCGAATGCCCTCTTGAGGTAGGTATGATAGCACCTTGTAAATGTGTGGATGACAAAGCGTCCCTGTCGCCGCTCGCAAAATTATGCAATTGTGCCCGATGTGGTCCGTGCACGAACATTGATTAATGCAAGTTTGCTGCTGAGTTTAATCTATACAGCGATCCTCCTCATCCATTTATAGACACATTGATCTAGTACACAGCTGTTTATTCGTAATAGTAATCAAATGCATATACTAGAATGGAGCATAACCTCCTGGTGGCGAACGAATGACAGCCCAACTTTGATCATAAGACAAACAAATGGACCAGCCGAGAGCAGTGTAGAGGCTTTGACGCACTTTCCATGCTTGTTGCAAATCATTGACGGTATCCGATTTCACATTGACATCCGAGATGAACTTGTTGAGAACCTTCAAAGCTGTTCCAAGACGTCCTGCAATGCGTTCACGTTTGACCTTTGCCAATGTCATGCCAATATCATTCTCTTGGGGAGCCCATTGTTTAAGTTCCTTGAAGCTTGCTTCAAATCCATCTGCTGCTTGTTTGTCGGTGGACACACATGCAAGGGCCCATGTTTTGTTCTTTAGAGCATTGACCAGCTTTTGCTTCTTTTTGTCGTTTTCTTTGCGTTGTTCGGCAACATCATCGGATTGCTGTTGATCCTCTTGTGGGTAACGGCCATAAAACTCGATCAATTGCGCCTTATCGATTTGACCAGCGATCTTGTCGGCAATCTGAACAATCTCATCAGCATGCTCCTTGCTCAATTTATCTTGTTGTTCTGCTGTTGAAGCTGCTGCACCCAAGCATTCTGTACTACCACCCGCTTGTTTCCATACTCGATCGATCTTGGATTGGAGGAACACAATATCATTGGCGTAATCGGATTCGAGCTTGGACAAGAGCGATTTTTGAGCATCACCTTCAAACTTGTCGACATACGAAATGCGAATATCACGAAGGGCATCAGCAAGTTGCTCTTCAAGCTTCTCTTGACCTGGTTTGGTATCTTTGCTGCCATTGTTGTTGTTGTTGGCTTGTTTGGCTTCTGGAGGAATGGTGTAAAGCACTTCGTATTGGCCACCATCTACCTTTTCTTTGGTGAATCCAAGTTTGCCAACAAGCGCATCTCCTGCCTTGGCTTCTTTGGGGAGCCATTGCTGATCATCCATGGGAGGAGCCAAGTAACAGACTTGGGGTTCACGCTTCTCCAAACCAGTCTTGTTGATGGAGGACTTTTCACCCTTAAAGACACCAGCCATGGTTGCATACGCAGTAAAGTTGATGCTCTTGACGCTCATATCCAATTCACAAATAGTCGTCTTTAGCTTTTCAAGGACCTTCTCATCTTCTCCAACCAATTGCAACATGATGGTGTAGTCGCCCTTGACATCGAGCTTGAACTTGTGGTCAAATACATCGAAATAGCCAACGATTTTACGATTGGCATCGTAAACTAGGTCGCTAGGTTAGCATATCATGGAAGGGAAAATGATTTAAAAGCACTACTTACTGATACCAAAAACACCACCCAAAAAGTGTTCATAAAGCTGATTCATCACAGTTGGGAAACGTGGCGTAATGGTTGTCGAATTTTCAATCTTGACATTGTATGTGAGCACAAGACCATACATGATTCGGGAGTTGGGAAGGGTGTTACGCTCAGGCTTGAGTGGAGCGATTTCAGCTTCTGAAGCTCGAAGATACTTGCGCAAGGTCGCTAAAGTCAAACATGAGCCTACTATTCATCCATGCATGATGCAAGTAACAACTTACAGAAGCTCGCGCTAATATCCACCTTGGTCTCCTTTCTCACAGGGGCCATCACATCCAAACGTGTCACTTGGGGCTCAAGGCGAAGTATGCTATCACCGCTTGCTTGGTTACCAGCGAGTTGAACACCATGGAAGTCCACCTCAAGATCCACAAAATGTCTTCCCAAGCCTGACCAGAATTGTGCTAAGCAAACCTATGTATAATGATAAAGAGGTTAAGACCCTTTTTCGTCCCTTTGGGGAAATTGATGGTAATAGTTACCTCAAGGTTCAAACCACCTCGCACTGCAAATCGCACCGTAATAACTTGATCCTCAGAGTTGGTGTTACCAAATGATCCAGAGCCCAAAAGGAAGGTGTATGTTTGCTTTTTCTTTTGATTCTTTTGTGGCACAAGCTGGAGAAGATGGAGCATGAAGCGTGCAGGGCAAGTCTCAACTTGTGACTTGGATCGCAAGGTAAGCTTTGCATAGGTCGCGCCTTCTGGCACATGAAGGAAACGGCGGATAATGTCGCCTGGTCCAAACTCAATATTGGGAAAGCCAATGGAGCCATTTGCTGGAACAGTGGGCTTGGCCACCGAAACGGGGATCTTGAAGAGAGGTCCACGTTCGGGTGCCGATGTATCATAGCCAAGCACTTCACTGTAATGGAATTGACCATCGCCTAGACTACTAGGGTCCACCTTGACCTGGAATGCATTACCTGTAGATACATTAGATGATCTGTAAATCCATTTAACATGAGTGAGCCATACCGGTGGATGCAATGTAAACAAAGTCAGGTGCAGAAACCCATGATGCAGTCGTAACCAATGCCACTCGAGCCTCAAATTCAAACTTGGACATGTTGTTCTTTGGATTCTCGGGATCGATTTCACCCATAAATTTGGGACGCACGCGTGTAGTGAGGTACTGGGTCTGGTTTGTTTCTTCATGCTCACGCAAGTAGATACCACGTTGGCTACCACGCTTCATGACAGTAACCTACCCTCATGCATATGAGTAACATGGCCCTCCCCCATTTTGAATAACAAACCCCTACCTCAAACATGATATCAAGATCCTTCCTATCCTTGTATTCTTTCAGGTATTCCCATGCCTTGTCGACTTGAATGAATCCAACATTCAAGGGATCGTCCACTGATTTTGCACTCTGAACAACGGCGGTCTTTAGACGATAGGGCGTGTAGGAAGCCTGCTCTCTCTTTAGAGCGGAAACAAGTAAAGCGATACATCCACAAGCATTGGGGCTAAAAATAAAGCGTCAGCTCTACTGTCCTTGATAAAGCAAATATTTTCTTTACCTTGACATACTGGTGCCATTCTTCAAATCCAGCTTGTGAAGACCGTATACAGGAACGCTTGTGATGGCACTTCCTGGTGCATAAATATCAACGCCTTGATAACCATCAGTGCAAGGACCACGAGAAGACCAAGTGTATGGCTTTTCGCCAACAGGCTCGAGTAAAGCGTATTCGGCTTCCATTTGAGCATGTTTGACATAAGCTCCCACAGTGACGAAACTTGAAGACATGCCGGCAGGTGCACCAATAGAGCTGTAGCAAGGTCCATCATTGCCTGCACTGGTAACAAAGAGACATCCAGACTTTGAAATCACTTCTTCAGCAAGCAAACGGATAAAGTGACCATCGGAGGGTAGGCTGCTTGATTCTCCATATGACATATTGGCGAGGTCCACTTTGTTGATAGCAAGATGTGTTGCAGCTCGTGTCAAACCAAGACAGGTTTCCATAGAACCCAAACGAGAATCACCAATACGAAGCGACACCAATTGAGCACCAGGGGCAACCTATAGATGCATATCATGTGAGTATGTTACATCTTGTTGAATATCCTATAAGCCTTACACCATTCAGCTCGGGCTCATCGGGAAAGTTGGCTGCGACAATACCGGCAACGTGTGTACCATGGCTTCCAGACAAGGTCACAATACTGTGAAAACGATGTTTAGCAACCAAATCACCATGATGCGATATGACATGATGCTTACCTTAAGAGATCACCATTGTCGTAGATATTCACTGAGAAATTAAGCAAATCAGCCTTTCCAAAGGTGTGGTATTGCAACTCCTTTCGGTAATCAGTCATACAAGGAGCACCTAAGCATGCACGTGATTAGCAAATCATTCCACAAAACAATGCATCTCTGCTTGTACCTCTCAAATCGCCTGATTCATTGACATCAATGACGGCTCTCCAATTATCACCATCATGGAAGACAACACAATCGTAAATCATGCCTGGATCCTCATACGAATTCAAGATTTCCTTGAGTGCCTCGACGCGAGCTTCGAGATCCGATTTCTTCTCGTTCAATTGCTCATCTTTGGTGGTGTTTGGATTGGCTTTGCGGAATTCGGCAAGTTGGGTCTGTGCATCGCTTAACAATCTTCCATGTTTCAACTCGAATTGCTCACGACGCTCCTATCATGCAGAGTTTAATTCGTATATCCGATATACCAGCCAGCTGATTCCAAGCACATGTCCTAACCTTCTTCAATCGTGCAACCAACTCGGTAGGGAAAAGCTCATAAGCTCGTTTCACACCCACACGATATTCCCCTGAAGGATTTTTCCATGATGGATCAATGATCAACGAACGTCCACTTTGGCCTGGAATCACCGAAACCTTCTCGTTGTCGCGTTGCTCCTCCACAGGCTTCACAATCTTGGTTGTTGTAACATCACCTATTGCACACAGAGATAGATGAATCCTACCTATCCTTCTTGAACCACCATGATAAAGTATTACTCACCTCCACCAGTACAATCCACAATGTCGATTATCTTTGGCTGACCATCGGTTGTAACCTGAACAAAACAACGCGTTATCATCCCATTCTCTTTTATCATCATGCTTTTCATTCTCTTACCTGCATACCAGCAGCTCCAGGATCAACACCTGTAAATATGGATATCCTTTAGTATATGCAGCAGCAACAGCAACCCCACACACACATTCGTTCAATGCCCTACATGCCTGTGTCAAGAATGGCAACGACCGAACCACGGCCATCAGACTCTGGATATTTCTTAATGAAGCCTGCTGCTTGAGTGTCTTGCTTTGGCATTAAGCCATGGACAGGATATTCCCCAATCGGTTTGCTCATGGTCGTAAAGAAAGCTTACGCGTTCGGCTTTTCCACGGTCTTCGGTCGTCTAAATTCGTGATGCAAACACCGCAATCCTCCATGCAATTCAAATGATTTGCTAACGCATTCGTTGATCATCAGTCTCCAGGGCAGCCCCACACACGCATGTTGACATGTAGTCCATAATCCCATTTTATTATATAACAGCATCCAACCCATCCTCATTCATCAATTCATAAAACGCTGCTTGTAAACTTTGTTGGCAATTACATCTATTCATTGTTGTGGGAAATGTGGAACCAACGCACAAGCAACATGTGTAACAACCGTTTTATGCTTTTTTCTTCAACACTGGTTTTGGTATATCCAACAAAGAATACAGCTTGTCTCTTGCATCCTTGACGTCTTGGTTCAATGTTGACCTACCCTCTTTGTTAACACCAAAATCAATCCAAGGTAAGCATGTCACCTTACCATTCTGTTGTCGTTAAGATCTCCTCAGCCTCTGCTGTTTGGTCCGTTGCCTTTTCAATATCGAGCAATGACAAGTACGTGTATAATTGATCAGAGACTTCCATCCGAATTCGAGGAAAAGCGTGTACAAGATAGGCCAACATTTGCTGTAATGCCTTGTTTTTCACCCGTGCACTCGAGGTAGCGGAAGCCATTCCTGCATAGACTTTGACAGCCGATAGTAATTTACGAATGTTCTTGGTTCTCATACATTCCTTGCGTGTCGCCATGAGGATATCAATGTGTCTACAATCAAAAATTAGAAGACGTCATCATGCGTAGAATAAACACTCACATGTCATCCGTTGCATTGCTCAAAGTACCAGACTCATAAAGCAAACCAATGACATCCAACAAAGGCATGATAACACGATCTTGGCGTTGATACGTAGTAAACAAGCTTAGTATACAGCGACACATGGCATCCAATGTCAACGTTTCTTGGTCCTCGGCCACGGTAGGTAAATCATTCATGTAATCAACAAGGCATGAGCTTGAATGGCGTACCTTTGGAAAGACAACAGTAATCAGCACCTGATTATTTTACCTTGATCCAAGAGGGTCACTTACCAATGTCTCTGTCAATCCACCTGCACTTGTGATAATACCAGTAAGAAGATCAAGCCGGTATTCGGTCACGTTTAGAATAGGTGTCACAGCAGGATACAATTCAGAGGGTGACGACCATGGTATATCCCTACAACAGCGTGCGTAAGAATGTTGTCAAGGGAAACGAGTGAATGATCATTTTACCTATGAAGGGCATTGCGAAGGATGCTGTCGCTGGGTATGGAAAGTGTATCGGTATCATAAATCAAAGCACAAATTACGCCGCCAGCACATTCACGCACTCGATCGATACGTTCAACGCTTTGCTTAAGAAGGCTGCTCATCAAGCTGCTGATCATGGCTGGAGACAAGTAAGGATCGTCACTATCAGAAGAATCCAATCGTGACACCAATTGTATCAATGTTTGCAAACACTCCATGCTGACAACGCGCACCCATGATCCAACATCACCACGCTGATCAGTACTATAATCCGCTAGACAGCCTTGCAAGCTTTGGAACAACTTGACAAAGTCGTCTTTGGATAGGATCTTCTTGAAATGGTCTCCCAATCCTCGAATAATATCATGCAATCCAATCACCGCATTACGTTTGGCTTCAGCATCATTTGCTTGGTGCTCTTGCTAATAAATGTGTTAGACATGGAAGAAGAAGACAATAAAATTGGGTATGAATGGAATACCTGAACTTGAGCCGCTGAACATAGAGACCAGAGTACTTGAGATAACCATTGATGTCGCTCTTGTTGTACATAGGATAACTTGCCCACAGCAAGAGCATATCCACGCCTTCCATAAATCATGCGAGATGACCGAATTTTATCAAGACAAATGTCAATTGCCTGTTGATCCACACCATAGGTCGCTGAAAATGCACTAAATGCTTCCACTGCAAATTGCTGAACACTCTCCTCCTTTCGTTCGAGTGATGTATAGACCAGTTTTCTCCAATGGTCAAGCGTCTCCTGGTCACAAAGCAGATCCACCAAAGATAAGCATTCAATCAAGCGGCAAGCAGCTTCACGCGTGTGTTCTGATCCAAAGGTATCAAGCAATCTTGGAGCAATCCCTTTAATGACACTCGCAAGATTCTATTATTACCATCAGCATGACAAATAAACATCACTGTACTACCACACAGCTACCTTGTTAAGCTCTTCATTGGATTTCCAAAAGGTGCTCGAGTCTTGTTCCACAATTTGACACGATTTGAGTGCCAAACAAATTTCAGCAATGGCAAGTAGCACACCGTGTAATACTTGCATGTCTGTGGTAGCAGCGAGTGGAATCTATAATATCACTTTTGAATGAGTAACAAGTGTCATACATATACACACAAGGGTTGCTTACCAGTTGGGGAAGAACATGGTTGATAAAGTAACAAGGATCATGCTCCACTAAACGACTGAGTGCAGCAGCACCTAGCACTCGAATGGCTTTATCCCAGTGACGAATACTGCTTTGGATCAAATGATCGATCATGGCATAACGATAGGTCTCGAATCTAAAGAAAAAAGTGAATACGCTGTAGCCAAGGCTTTGACGATGAGAATGAAGTGCTTACCTTGCAATATCAAAAGCCACTTTGAGGAAAGCGTTGCTACGATTGCCTACGGTAAAGTAATCGGCCAATTGGATGATATCAATTCCTGCCGGGAATAGTCCCTAAATATGGCTCTTTAGCAAGAGGAAGTGGATATACGATGAAATGGCACTTACCTGCCTGCCGACGTTTTCTTGAAAGGCAGCGCTGCTGGCACGTCGAACATTCACTTCTCTATCAAACACCGAAACAACGACAAGGTTCCTGGCAATATCATTTACAAAGGGGGCCAAGATCTCTGGTGCATACGCACGTGCAAAGGACCAGCAAACATAGCAAGCAGCATCACGAACATGGATACCAATGGAATGTGATCCACGCTTCAAATCAAACTTCAAAGCCTATGCATAAACAAGGATCGGTATGATGCATTCGATAGACCAAGAGAGCTTATGCATACCTTGAGAATCCATGGGATGATTTCAGTCAATCGATCAGGTAATAAAAGACCTCTTCGGGCCAATTCGGCAACTGCTAAGGATACACCATGCCATGTGCTGTCAGAGACCGCACTGAGATCCGTTTCACCGCTTGATGCATGGATAAAAGTGTTCTCTTGAAACAATTCAAGCAAATAACCAATCACATCTTCAGCAAGCTCTTGAGGCAAACGCTGCGTGATGCGTCCAATACCCTTTGCTGCTGACCAACGTACAATGGTATCCTTGGATGATGATGCGTTAATACCTTTGTTTCCTTCTCATCCACCCTGATAGATAGATAGATAGATAGCTACCTTATCACGCAATCCATTGAGCAAAATGTCAATGACCATTTCCATGCAATCGGGTATTTCATCTTCCTCATCTTCATCCGCATTATCAATGTTGTGGGTGGTGCTGGTGGTAGGTTGTGCTTTAGGCGCTGGTTTCAAATTCTCGTGCAAAGAACGATTGCCTCTCTGATAACGCCATGGAGCAATCTTTGGTTTCAAAAAGCATAGTCCAACACGTTGCGTTAACTTGATGCGAAGCTTTCGAATCAAACTATTGCTGCTGTAATTGTCGAAGAAAGGCATATCGAGTAATGGGACAACGTGCTCATCGAATACTGGCAAGAGCTGTTCGCGTGGTGCAAATTGACAAAGAGAGCAAAGGCATGATAAAATCCCGGCAACCTATCCACGTAGAGAGCCATTTAGCTAACGCCCAAGTCGTATTGTATATGTGAAATGTACCTCGAATACATCTGAATGATCGCTACAAAGCTGAGATTTGCACCAAGTAATAAAGGAAGACATGTAATCATTGCACACTTCTTTGCGGCTAAGCAGTCGAGCAATCAAAAGTCCAGCAGCTTCTCGTTCCTTTCCTGTTGACTTGAGGTATGATTTGGAAACCTCCAATATCCGTGATGGAAGCGAATTCTAATGCTCATGTGTCAGATGCTTCTCCCGTTGAATGGGTATGAAAACACTCACCTCTGGTTCTGGAGAACTGTCGACGCGCTTAAGATCGAAAGGAATGATACAGATCAAGGACAACCAAACAAAGCAGATGTATCGGATCTCCCAAGGGGCATCTTTCATGTTGCATAAATAGGCAAATACGGGCTCGAGATCTGTCACTTCATGCGGCATAAATTTCACTAAATGCAAATGGTGTCAATGAATGATGCCATCAAGGTACAAATCTCCTCAATTACCGATCGTCTTATATCCGCGTGTCTTGGTTAACAGATAAAGCAACCGAAAGAGCAATGGGCACGCTTCGTTTCGAGAAACATGACCCCGAATGCTCTCCATCACAGGTCCAATGATAGATTCCAAGTAAGGGTCCAGCAAGTAAGACTGCTCTTGATACGTGTTGAGCTATCGGGTTTCGGTTAACGCCTCTTATTATACACACACACGAACAGGCACTGTCAAACGTACAATTTCACTCAGGCGCACAAGGTCATCTGTGTTTTGCGATTGGATCAAGGACGATATAAGTTCAAGCGTCTCGGTCTCATGTTCGAAATGCGATTTGGTGTGTGCTTCCCCCACTGCTTCGAGACTCATCGTTACGATCGACTACTTGCACGCTCAAGAACCGAGAACCTGCGGACCTGACAATCTGAGATAAAGGGTTGACAACCACCACGAGGATTCAAGTCACTTTGGATACCCGTCCACCTATCACATGAGCTGCTACCAGCATTGGATTATGCATGATGTTACCATAGCAACAAGACTTTTGCCCATACGACGTACCTACCAACGACGCTTAGGGAAGAGGCCAACGTATACCATACCAACAGCAAGCTGCAACCTGAAGATCCAATTAATGACAGCAAGCAATGCTCTTATAGGTAGAGTATTGCTTAACTACAATGTACCCACAAGCTCTTTGTTTATCGTCATTGTTCAATAAAAATGACACACACATTACACTATGAACACACTGCCACTTTAAATTACAATGGCAATCATTGGTACATCATGGCTCGACGCTATGTAGGATCATCAAAGTAACATGATGAAGATTAGAAAGTGGGTGTAGGAGGCATTGGTCCGTCTGCTACTACAGCCTTGAATGGAAACATCATATGTATGAGAAAACAACGTGTACTATTACACCCTTTGTTGGGTTTATGCAGCTCGACCTTCTCCTACATGCAAATGTGATATGGAAACATTATTGTCATACACATACCTTGTCACACCTTCATTATTGGATGCTGTTTACTTACGTACCTTCACAAAAGGCAATCATCATCATCATACATTTGTGCAGCAACCTGTCAAGGACGTGTTTGTGTAACCATCACGTGCCATTTCTCTCATCTGTCCATCTTTCCGTTAATGCAACCGACACCATCCACTAGGACAAAAGCAACTCCATCACGCTTACGGCATAGGTCAAACATAAACGTGCCTGTATCTCCAAACTTTACAATGAAACGTGGGTTTTTTATTAGAGCAATGGGCTCGGCTTGGCCAACAGCACCCTGTGTGAAAGTTTCAAGTTCAATGTCGCAAACAGCCCAAAAAAATATTTTTTGGTCGTCGTCGTAGAAGAGGTCGACCCCCGGATCCAGTTTAGCTGGTGGCGACATTGCGAAATCTGGGATTGGCAAGCTTGATCGTGAAACTTTCACACAAGGTGCTGTTGACCAAGCCGAGCCCATTGCTCTATTCAAAACCCCACGTTTCATTGTAAAGTTTGGAGATACAGACACCTTTATGTTTGTAAGCGTGGTGCTATATGAGAAGTGGTCTTTGTTCATTGTCAAGTCGCTGGACCCTGGCAGAGCAAAAGATGCAGAGGGACCTCTTTGTGTAACTCAGCTACTTTGCATGACTGGAAGGATGGAAGGATGATACTATATACTGTTGACAAAAGCCCGTACATTGCGAGCTAACAGCCATTTCTTCACAATAGCCATTGTTGTCCACTGTATGACATGTGAGCGATTCTCCTGCTTCAGACAATCATTTCCATGATTGGATTATGTTGATCCGAGTTGATTTGGCTGAGCTACGCTCATACAAGGTTACTTCAGTTGAGCAACATAGAGCATGGTTAGATGTGTGGATTGATGTAATCCGTCTTTGGCTGTATCTTGGTCAAATCAACTCGGATCTACATAATCCAACCATGGAAATGAATGTCTGAAGCAGGAGAATCGCTCACATGTCATACAGTGGACAACAAT